TAGGGATAAAAATAATGTATTTCAACACTATAAATGCTATAAGTAAGAAAATTCTATTCAGCATAATACTAAATGGTTGAAACAGCATTTCCTCTAAAATTAAGATGACACAAGGGTGTCTATTTTCTCCACTCCTGTTTAATATAGTTCTTGATGTCTTAGGAAACAATGAGGAAAGAGAAAGAAAGAAAAGGGAAAGCGGATATAAAGCAAGTGGTATAGAAGGTCCTTCTGTCTTTGTGTTGCTTTCATTGGTTAATAAAGAAACTGCTTTGGGCCCCTGAAAGGGCAGAACTTAGGTAGGCCGAGAAAACGAAACTGAATATTGGAAGGGAGAAAGCAGACTCAGAGGGACGCCATGGATCTGTGGCCAGAGGTAGATGTGCTGAAACTTTGTTGATAGGCCATGACCTTGTGGTGATATACAGATTGATAGAAATGGGTTAAATAAAGATGTAGGAGTGGGGCTAGAGAGATAGCTCAGAGGTTAAGAGCATTGCCTGCTCTTCTAAAAGTCCTGAGTTCAATTCCCAGCAACCACATTGTGGCTCACAATCATCTGTAATGGGGTCTGGTGCTCTCTTCTGGCCTGTGGGCGTATATACAGACAGAATATTATATACATAATAAATAAATAAATATTTAAAAAATAAAGATGTAGGAGTTAGCCAATAAGAAGTTAGAGCTAATGGGCCAAGCAATGTCTTAATTAATACAGTTTCTGTGTGGTTATTTCAGGGCTAAGCTAGCCGAGATGAACAAGCAGCACCCTGCAATAAGCAAGAAGTTAAATGATTTTTATTTGTCAGTGATACGATCCTATGTTTAAAATCTAAAATAATTTCAACAAAGTAGCAGGATGTAAAGTCCAATACAAAAGTCAGCAGCTTTTTAATATACCAACAACAAACATGGTGAGAAATGTCATGAAAACAATCCCAGACATAATGGTTTTAGAAACAGAAAAAAACAATTAAATACCTAGGAATATACATGAGGGGGTTAAAGACATGAACAATAATGTTTTGAAAGACTACATAAGGGAGGCCATGATGGCTTTTATGTCTGTAATCCAATGCTCAGCAGGCACAAGAAAGGGGATTGTGGCAACTTTGGGGCTAGCCTGGTTTACATAGTGAGAACTTATCTCAAAAACTAAAACTAACCAAACGATAACAAAGAAAGAAAGAAAGAAAGAAAGAAAGGAAGGAAGGAAGGAAGGAAGGAAGGAAGGAAGGGAAGATCTATAGAATATATAGAAAGATCTACTATGCCCATGAATACTCAAGATTAATATTGCAAATATGACTATGGTCATGAAATAAATCTAGAAGTTCAACGCAATTCCCAATGGCATTCTTTAAAGAACTAGAAAAAAATCTAAATTTATATGGATGCAGAAAAAAACTGCTAATAGCCAAAGAAGTTCTTAACAGGAAGAGAATACTAGAAGAGTTAAAATACTATTTCAAATTCTATTACAGAAACATGGTTTTACAAAAGAAAAAGCAAGAAGGCATGGTACAGGTACAGAAATAGACACGGACCAATGGAACAGAATAGAGGACTCAGATATAATCTATAGTTACAGTTTTAGAACAACCCACATTCTAGAAGCGATGCTTCCCCATCCCCCACCCAGTCTTCTAGGACTCAGGGCCAGCATCCCTGTCATCACAATGGGACACATTTCCACTGTGCCAAGGTTTCATATGCTCATGTTCCATACCCACTGTAAAGTCTGCGTCATCATCCCTCTCATTCTCTCTCCCCTCTCACTCTTTCCCTTCCTTCTTCCTCTCTCCCTTCCTCCCTCCCTCCCTCCTTAGCTCCCTCTCTCTCCTCCCTGACCATCTCTCACATCCCCACTCAGAGGCAGCCTTTTTGCCATCCCAATAAATCCCTTGTGTGAAGTCTGCTGCATGGTGCAATTTTTGTGCCATTCCTTGGCCCTCCGATACCACAAAAACACTTATACACCATTTTTTATTTTCAACCACAATGCCTAAAATGGTCATGGGGGCAGGGACGATACAAATCCATTCAGAAAATGGTGTTGGGAAAACTTTATACTCCATGTAGAAGAACAAAATTACATCTCTATCTCTCACCTTGAGAAAATAATCTCAAAGACCTTAAATGTAACGCAGAACTCTGAAATCTGCTAGAGGAAAACCCTTTTGATAGATGCACAGACCGTCTGTTAGGATGGTCTGAAAGGATTTATAACTCAAGAAACAATAACAAGAGCTGACAAATGGGTTGCATGAAATGAAAAACTTCTGCCCTGCAGAGGAAAAAATTAGAGGGTGCAAAGACAGTCTAAGGAAAGGAAGAAAATATAAACCAACTATAAATCTGAAACAGGATTGATACGTATAATACATAAATAATTCAAAAACAGCAAAACCCAAGAGCCAGGTATTGTGGTGCATACCTGGAAGCCGACGAACTGTGAAGCAGACTCATGAGACTACAAGTCCAGCTTCATGGACTGTGTTGCAAAAACAAACAAACAAAATCATTCCGGTGGAGAACTGAATGAACTCATTAGAAGTAAGCAAGACAACGGAGGAAGGAATTGGAAATTTATTTAGTAGTTCAGACAAAGGACACAGGTCGTTTTTCCTCAAGGTGTGAGCAAGACAAAACAGTGCAAAGAAATTGAATTTTGGATTCATTTAAAACATGGACATTACAATATTTCCTATTGGTTAAATCTGGACTACAGGATGAAGTAAGGCGATAACAGAACTTCAGGACTGCACAGGCAGCAGAGTAGATTTGCTGTTTGCAGACAGGGAAATGCACGTAAAGCAGCCAGACTGACGGGACAGATGAGCCTGGAGATGTACTTACCTGGGCTGGAGAAACTTATTTGGGAGGTGGTCTTAAATGGTATTTCAAACCTTAACAAGAAAAAGGTCAGGCTTGATGACACAGGTTTTTAATCTCAGCAATTTGGGCAGAGATCAGTGCCTCCTCTCCTAGGACCTCTCTGAGTTCAAGGCCAGCCTGGTCTTCAAGTAGAGCAAGTTCCAGGCCAGTCAAGGTCACGTATTGAGACTGTTTCAACAAACAAAAAATCAAAACAAAACCCCCAAACAAAACAAAAGACTTTGGAAGTATGGTGGAAAGCCAAGAATCTCTGTATTTATAACAAAGTGGGTGCAGAGGCAGCTGTTACTCAGATCATGGAGCTGCAAGGATGTAGACAGGAGCTCCCAGGCTGGGCATCAGCCTCACTTGCGGCATGTTACATAGAATTTCCTGCTGCCAGGTATTGTGGCTCATATATGTAATTCTAACACTGCAAGAAGGGGAATGAGGATTGATTGCAGGTATTTCAAAGCCCACATAGAATTTTATTTATTACTGTTTTTTCATTGTGTGACAAAATACCGAGCAGAGCAACTTAAAGGATGAAAAGTTTATTCTGATTCATGATTATAGAGGGCACAGTCACTCTCAGCATGAGGCATAATAGAGTATAGGGCAGCAGGAGCATGGGGCTGGGAGTCCTCAAACTTCAGTAGATCAGGAAGTAGAGTATAGGGATCCTCCCATCTGGTTTTCTTCTGTTCTTCCTCTTATCCTTGTTTCCCAGGGTGTGTCTTCAAACCTCAATTAATCTCTGGAAACACTCTTACAGATGTGATTCTAAATCCAGTCAAGCTGACACTGAAGATTAGTCATCACAGCTACATAGTGAGTTCTAGACCAGCCTGGGATACAGTGTGAGATTCTGGTAACAGAAAAAAAAAATGAGTCATGGGCTACATTCTGAGCCTAAGGAATATAAATGAGGAATCTGGAAAGAGTCTGAGTATTTTGGAAGAAGATTTATGGCCACTGATGTTAGTGATGAGAATGGCATCCATGATGGAAAAGGCTTTTATGTGGGCATTCCATTTTGGGGAGGGGTTGAGAGAGACAAGGGAAAATATACATGATCAGGCCTGAGTTGTCACATTAACAGATACATATTGTTTTCTCTCCCATGAAGTATAGCCTCAGAGAGGAAATACAGGAATCAATTATATAGAGACTCTGACTGGCTACTATCTGAAAATTCCCTAGACTGATTTCTTACTTTTAGATATAAAGAATAGAAACCAAACTCTTGTCCTTTAAAAGCAAAGGAATTTATTATATGATATTGGAAGGCTGGTGATTATTTTATTTTGGAAAAAGCCAATGAACCAAATCCAAGGCTTCACAGCTGGGAACAGAACTGACAAGTCCATCAACATCAGGTCCCACAGGGATCCTCTGAGCACAGGAATCACTGAGGCCCTGGAGCTGGTCTCTGTGGACATCTTTCCTGCTACTCTGGGAACTGGATGTGCAGTGTTACCCCAGCCCAGTTCATTCCTGCAGTCCCAGCTTTTCCTTCTCACCATGTGCTCATTCAGCTGGGGGCTGAGGAGGACTCCTGTGGTGTCCAGCTGCAGGAGTGCTTGGGAAAGGGAAAATGACTGAGGGACTTGCTGTGTAACCTTTCTGTACACTTACTAGGTGTTCTCTTAATGTGTAAAGAAAGTTCAAGATTTGGGAAAAAATGGTAAAAGGTGGAAATACAATGATGAAAGTAGATTCCTGGAAAAGTTTTCTGAGTAACTACATTGTAGGAAAGAAAAAGAGTAATAGAGATTCAGGATAATGATGTTCTAGAGTCCTCCCATAGACCTGGACTAGAAGGAGGAGGATGAGAAGGAGATGAAAGGAAAATGAGTAGGAAGAAGGAGAAAGAGGAGAAAGAAGAAGAAAAGAAAAGGAGGAAGAAGAAAAGGAGGAGGAGAAAGAGGAGGAGGAGAGGAAAGAAAGAAGGAAAGAAGGATAGAGAAAAAGAAAGAAGACTAAAAAGACAGTGGCAGTATACAGAGTGCGTAAACACTCAAACATAAATCTGTGTCATAGCAACAATGTAGGCAATGAGCACATTTCCACCCATGGCTTCATCTCTGTAGAAAACCCTCAGACACCAATCCCCTCCCTACCTGCTCTTTTCTTCCTCAGCATCACAACAGCAGCCACAGCTACAGTGACCACAAGTCCAAGGAGAACCACACCAACAGTCATTCCAATCATGGGCCAAGAAGATGGTTCTGGAAAGAGAGAATAAAATTGAGGGGCCCTAACCCCCAACTGACTCTACTTAAGGTCTCCAGAAGGTCACCTGCTTTCCTTGACATCAGGTTCTGTGCTCACACACACCCTTACCCCATTTCAGGATGAGGGGCTCAGGCAGCCCCTCATGCAGCACATGGCATGTGTATCTCTGCTCCTCCCCAGAAGGCACCACCACAGCTGCCCACTTCTGGAAGGTTCCATCTCCTGCAGGCCTGGTCTCCACAAGGTCCATGTCCTGGGTCTGATCCTCTCCATCTCTCTGCCAGGTCAGGTTGATGTCAGCAGGGTAGAAACTCAAGGCCCAGCACCTCAGGGTGACATACCCTCCAGGTCTAGGGTGATGGGTTACATGTGCCTTTGGGGGGTCTGAGGAGAAAATTTAGAAAATTCAAGTATTTAATATTCTTTCTTGGGACTTAAGCAGTATTCATGTCCCTATCCTGGCAATGAACAGGAGAATCAAGGTGAAGAGGGATGCAAACTCCAAACAAGTAGCCTTTACTCAGGCAGCAGTTTAACCTATTCCTTGGAAATTTCTAGTTATGATAATGTAGCCCAAAGCATAAAACCCCCAAGTTTCCCACCATGAAAAGAGGATTTCTGTCCTGACCTGGGTGGGGGACTTAAAGACTCAGCGTCTCTAGAGTCAGACCTCCAAGACAGCGGGTGTTAGCAAAGAACCTAACCTATGGGATACCATAGTTCACAACAGGATGCAGGTTGAAGGGAGGACTCTCCTGCCATCCTGTGAGACTGAACTGCCCAGAGAGAAGAGTGTCCTAGGACAATCACTCTCTGGTGTTGGGTCAGGAAAACAAAGATCACCCTTTCCCTCTATGCAAAAGAGAGCGGCAATATGTCAGCAGGTCCCATTTTACTTCCTCCTTGGAGGCATGTGCCCTACCCTGAGTGCGGATAGAAGAGTTGCTTTTCAGGCTCTGGTACCTGAGCGTTGTAGAGTCTCCTTCCCTATCTCCAGGTGCCTGAGTAGCCATTTAACGCAGGAGACCTCCAAGAAATAGTTGAAGGTCTCTGCAACACCATCTGCCTCCCACTGTCGCCTGGTGATCTGAGCCGTCGAGTCAGCCACAGTCCAAGTTCTCAGGTCCGCGTTCAGGCTGATGTAATCACGACCATCAAAGGCATGATTATAGTGCGAACGGAGGAGGAGTTGGTCTGGCCTCATGTCGCAACCAATTAAACACTGGAAAGTATGAGAGACTGCCACGCCCCAAAGTCAGCCCCGCGCACACACAGTCCTACAAACTCACGGAATTTCCACAGCTGAACCGGAAACCGGGCCTCTGTCCTAAACTCTCCTGGGTCGAGGGTGTCTGTGGATCCCACAACCTCGGGCGGAACCTAGGACCTGGAACCCAGGGTGACTCCAGCCAGTCAGTGGAGACGTGAAGGGGTGGGTTACTCACCGTTATCGCTCTGATTATAGACCTGGATTGCGAATCGCAGGTTTTCTCGGGCCCTGTGTGAATATCTCTCCATATTTCTTTTTTCCATCTCCAAATATTCGGGCCCCATCTGCTTCACCCAAGGCCCGCGTGCCTGGATCCTCTGAGTATCGGCGTCACTGTCGAAGCGCATGAACGGCACGTGATCCACAGAGGCAACGATGAAGACGTGAAAATCTCGGAGACCCGATCGAGACGCGGTCGTGGTTACTAAATACCGCAGTGAGTGTGAGCCTGTGGGCGGCAAGCGGTGAGACCCCGACCCTCCTCCCAGGACCTCTGTCAGGTGTGCGGGCCTAGAAGGGAACAGAACAAAGTGCTCTGAACGTGGGATGGAGATGGGAGCTGGTGGATTTGGCAGAATGGTAAAAAGAAGAAGCGCCAGGACACTACCCATGCCCGGCGCCCGCGCGCTCCTCCTGGCGGAGGCTGCTTTCTTTCTGATCCACACTCACCTACGAGGCCCTGGGTCTCGGTCTGGGTCAGAGTCTGGAGTACTGAGAGCAAAAGGAGAATGGGACATGGCTCTGCAGCCACCATCCTCGGTGTCTGAAGGACCTGGAGGGATTGAGCATTGTTCCTCTCTATGGATTTTACAGCGTTGTGGTTTGTGGGGAGATACCACAGTGATTGTGAGTGGCTTTCTCGAGAACTCAGACATGCAGCAGGAGTGAGAATATGGGTCCATATGGAAAGACCGGATAGCTGACACAGGTTGTGGGCTGCAGGAAGATGAGGCAACTCCCAACCTGTTTCTTTGTCTCCTCAGACATCTTGAGGACAAAACTTCAGACCAGGGGCTTATGAGGAACCTTCACCTTGTACCTAGTGCTCCTTATCTCTCCTTCTTTTGAGTTCTGTTTGGAACTGTGTCATACAAGATTCTGAATGTTTTGGTTTCAGATCCCTTGTTTGTGCTTACACATTATTAAAGACTTCAAAGAGTTATTATGTAGATTACATCTAATGACATTTACCATGTCAAACAATGTCACTTAAATAGTTTCTGGTGGCACACTTGTAATCCCAGCATTTAAGAGGCTGTGCTGAGGCAGGTGGTTTGACATGAGTTTGGGGCTCATTTAAATTAATGATAAATTAAATAATAAATTATTTTTAAAATAATTAAAAAAAGATGTAATTTTATTTGTAGGTGAATTGTATAAATGTATGCTGCTCATGTGAGGGTGTCCATGAAGGCCAGAAGAAGGAGTCAGATTCCTTGGTGCTGGAAATACAGGTGTCTGTGAGCTGGGTGTTGCAAAACTGTGATCACGTACAAGAGCAATAAGCATTTTTGACTACTGAACCATCTCTTCAGTCCACTGAGACTCTGAAAAAAAAGTGAGACTGCTAGTAAGTGTGGTTGAAGAAAATAATAGCTCAGGCTGGGTAGATAGATGGCTCAGAGGTTAAGAGCATTGCCTGCTCTTCCAAAGGTCCTGAGTTCAATTCCCAGCAACCACATGGTGGCTCACAACCATCTGTAACGAGGTCTGGTGCCCTCTTCTGGCCTTCAGGCATACACACAGACAGAATATTCTATACATAATAAATAAATAAGTATAAAAAAGAAAGAAAATAATAACTCCTACTAATTAATTTGTTCTTCATAGCCTTGATTCAGACTAAGGTGTCAACAGATTAACTCACTGTCAAGCACACTACAGTAAATATGGCAAGTAAATCTTGAAACATAAAAGTATATTTGACCTCATACATCTCAAGAAAGTGTCTAAATAACCTCATGGGTTCCATTCAGTTTCAAAAGCTATTTTTGTTGTTGTTGTTGTTGTTGTTGTTGTTGTTGTTGGAGACACATAGTGTATTTCCACCATTCAAGAGGCTGAGGCAGGCGGGCTTCCAGGATTTGAGGGATGACCTAGACTATATCATTTTTCTGTATGGGAAGAAAAGAATTGAGAATGTCAGTACGGTGGTTTGAATTCAATTGGCTCTCATAATTTCATAGAGTGACACTATTAGGAGACGTGGCTTTGTTGGAATAGGTAAGGACTTGTTTGCGCAAGTGTGTCACTGTTGGGGCAGGCTTTGAGGTTTTCTATGCTCAGGATATCACCCAGTATCTCATCAACTTCCTGTTGCCTGCAAGATGTAGGACTCTCAGCTACTCCTCCAGCACCACATCTGTCTGCATGCTGACTATCATGCTCCCACCATGATGATAATGGACTGAACCTCTGAAACTGTAAACAAGCCACCTCATTTAAATGTTTTACTTATAAGAGTTGTCATGGTCTTGATGTCTCTTCCCAGGAATAAAAACCTTAACTAAGACAGTTGGGCTGGGCAGTGGTGGCCCACGCTTTTAATCCCAGCACTCGGGAGGCAGAGACAGGCAGATCTCTGTGAGTTTGAGGCCAAGCCTGGTCTACAGAGCTAGTTCCAGGACAGGCTCCAAAGCTACAGAGAAACCCTGTCTCGAAAAACTAAAAACCCAAAACAGAAGGACAGTTGGGGGATAGTAAATGATTTTTATAGAAAGTCAATGGGCTTAGAGAGCAAGTAATTGCCTCTTGGACACAGAGAACAGATGAGTTTGTAAATGGTTCGAAATTATTTTCTTTGAAGCGTTGTATGGGACTGAAGTAAATGATGATGGTATGTGGCAAAAGTCTGTCCAGAATGGCGACAGGCTTCTTGCCATAAAAGACCACTAATAAAACTCAGGGAGAGTACTAGCAGTATAGAACATTAGGCAAATTAGAGAAGAGAAGAGTAAAGCCCTTGGGCAGCATCTACTGCTACCTTCCTTTACTGCAGGGGCAGGTGGATCTCTGAGAGTTCAAGACAAGCCTGGGCTACAAAGCCAGATCCAGGACAGATCTCTGTTAAATAGAGAAACCCTGTCTGAAAAATAATAATAATAATAATAATAATAATAATAATAATAAGAAGAGATGAAAGAAGAAGACTGTGAGAAGGAGGTTGATGGATCCTGATCCACAACCTTGGGAAATGTTTGTCTACTTCATGGCACTGTCTGCCTCTGCTTGAGAACTGGCCTGGCAATCTAGGGTCACCTGTAAAGATAGCCCTCCAATTGTTCTGATTGTATTCACTTTGATCCACATGAATCCAGGAGAAATTTTATTTTCATCTTGATGTCAGTTGAGTGGTTAGTAGTATTACATAGAGTTCCTTCTGGTATAGAAACTAGGGCAGAACCTAATGTGTTTTAGTTTTTTTAAGTATCTCTCAAAACACTTATATCCATTTATAGAAGATATGTGAAAGTCAAAATGTTAGAGATCACAGGAAATCCATTTGGTCAGACTCCTTAATGATCATTTTAGACCCTTTTATATTCATTTATCCTTTTAAGACTATGAGAAATTAACATTACTAGTCAGAGATAAATACAAGCTTATGATTTTGGGTTCAAAAAGAGTGGGAACATTACAGGATTCATGTTTACCACCTACCAGGCATCTAACTTGCTATGCATATAGTTAGATTTTTTTTCCATTGGCAGGGTTTCTCTGTGTAACAGCCCTTGCCCTTCTCTGTCCCGGAACTCACTTTGTAGAACAGGCTGGCTTCAAACTCACAAAGATCCACCTGCATCTACTTCCTGATTACTGGAATTAAAGGCATGTGCCACCACGGACATCCTGTTCTAAAACTGCTTCCTAAGAGGCATCACCACAGAGAAATAAATTTGGGTTATTTGAAGAGGCATCTGAGAGCCTCTTGTTGCTTCACACCATTATTGTAGCTGTGAGGTGATCATGCTGCGGGAAAGAGGATCTAGGTCTAAGAGGACTCTCTATCTATCTGTCTGTCTGTCTGTGTGTCTGTCTGTCTGTCTATCTATCTATCTACCTATTCTATATATTAGATATAGATATTATATATTAGATTTTTAGATATCTATATCTTTATATTGGATATAGATAGATAGAAACGAGATAGATAGATAGATAGATGATAGATATAGATAGATAGATAGATAGATAGATAGATAGATAGATAGATAGATAGACAGACAGACAAATGTCAAGTGTTAAGTGACACAAGATGATGAGGAATGTTGTTGACAGGACCTCTTCACAGGAGGTCTGCTGGCCCATAGATATTTTGTCTTAAGGACTTGTAAGGGAGTA